CAATCAAACCATTAGCTTTGATTCGCTGCTATCTAGGTGTGTTTTCGAGCGCGTTGCAATCAAGGTAAAATAGATGGCAGTTCTTACCCGACACGAGTGGTATTCCCTCCAGTCTTGGAAGTGGAAATACTAGAGTAACGCCCACACTCGTCCCCACCCACAGCAAACCTTCATCCGCAGCTAAAGCTGTGGCATAAACTTGATCAAGTTTTGTTTTTTCCAACTGAGAATCGATATCTGTGAAGAAAAATGTGGAAGCTAAATGTAAGCCAGGCTTTCACAAGCGACACAAAACGCGGCCCTCGTGTTATGTCGTTAGACTTGTAAGAAGAGGGACATTACATCACAATGTTCCTATTCAATCAAAACCTTGTTATTTAAAGAGCGGACAAGTGAAAATAAAACTTTTCAATGGTTAAATCACTAGTCAGTGGGTAAGCGTTAACAACATAGTACGTCTACTGGATATTTATAATTATTAGAAATATAGTTAGCCACACTTTGAACAACCAGCAGGATAAGCTTATAAATGGGGTTTTGCCAAATTATCGTTGACCTGCGATGGACTCCTGTTCGCTTCATGCTTTACAAACTAGGGTTAAAAGCCATTTAGCCCATAGTTTCTCAGGACAAATTTCTTCAGGCCTTTGTCAGGACTCTTGCAGATTTTCCAGACTCCAAATGAAGAATTCAAAGGTTGTTCAACGCATTCCTGTTACGACTACACAGGGTCGTTGAAAGACAAACAAGGCTCCCCCTTGGCATTATTCGTTCAGTTTTCAAACTAACCTCGCTGCATATTGGTCACCGGAGAAGAGATGCTAATGTCCTGTACGTGCTTGAGTGTCTCGCTATGAAACAGCTTGATCGACGGGAACTTCCAAACAGACACCCAGACACCCACACCGTAACTAACAAGGTGCTTGATGTTGGTTTTCGGGTTATCGTCAACTTCAATGACGTGCTGTGAAAAAAACGTTTGACGGAATGAAGTTACCGCTTTCTTTCGTAGTAAAGAAAAAAATGACTACATGGGGGATGAGTGACAAAGTAAGTGGCTGAGGGGGAGGGTGAGTAAAAAGAGAGGGAAGGAGGGAGGGAAGCCGGCGTGAGAGGGAGTTAGAAGGGAGAGGCTGACTAATGAATGAATAAGTGGTGGTGAGAGGGACAAAGGGGGAAAAGAAAGGAAGAAAAGAAAAGAGAAGAGGGGTAACAGGGGTTTCATGGATAAGTGCGGAGAAAGGAAGGGATGGAGAAAGAGAGAGGGGAGGGAGGAACAGAGCCAGGAAGGAAATGAATAAGCGAAGAAATGAGCGAGAGAAGAAGAGATGGAAGAAAAAAACGGAGCAGCGAGGGAACGTAATGAACTTATACAGTGCTTATTTCATCCTCAAGTTCCGTCGTGAAAGCCTTAAAATTATGCGATGTACAAATCATGTTTGACATCAAGCTGACGCTTGTGAAGGTTCTTACAGCGAACATGCTCAGCGAAAGAGTCTATTTCCAATTTTATTTACTTGGGATGCGTCCTGCACTCCTTTTGAAGACATGGAGTAGTAGATTCCTTAACTCCAGATATTTTGTAAAAGAAAGTTTTGTGAACAAAGCCAGCGACTTTCCAAATGATGGCGAAGAATAATGAGCGTGGTTGGTATATGGCTGCAAGCTTTTAAAATGCGGCTTTGTATGCTAATGTAAAATGCGCAGATACCTTGATAACTTCTTCATTGTGGTTTACAATAAACAACTTGTTTCCACAGGAACACCACAGGCTTTCTCTCACAACCGCCAACGCCATTACGGGAGACTTACCGAGACCTACGGCTTTTGGCTCACTGAAGTTCCACGTACCCTCTGAAATACAGTTGAAAAACAAAATACACTGAACAAACGAAAAACACTTTCAAAATGACTTCCTTTTGGCTTTTAACTCTTTTCTTGCGCTTTTTACTAGTACACGATTTTGCTTTTCCCGCGCTTTTCACGTGTTACATCAGTTCTCGCTTTTCCCGCCCTTTTCACTGGAGAACTGATGGCTTTGTGCTATTGGTAGCTTTAGTCGTAACTCACGTGCAAGTCACGTCACTGTCTCTTTGTTGATTACGTTAATTTCAATAAATGGCCCAAAACAGCCAACAAGCGCAAAGTAGGCGGAAAAAAGAAAAAAAATTAAAAAAACAACAACAAGAACAGAAGGCAGAATTTGAATTCGCTAAAAGGTATTGTGACAAATGGTTATTGACCAAGCCTGAGATCAAGATGGCTGGACATTTTACCAAGACTTCATTTTGCGTGTCTTGAACGAATGAGAATTTACTGTGTGGCATACAAGACACAATTTTTCTATGGGACACAGCGGGAGATCCCGAGAGCGCAAGCTACACCAACCTTGCGCGCGCAGATAACCAATCAGAGCGCAGACTTTGGTTCATCTTGTCCACTCGCAGAGTTAGCTATATCTTAATTGTCTTAGTTCTAGGTCAAAGTTTATTTAAGATAATTTCCCTCCTTTTTACCTTGATTGCGTTTGAAAATGACCACGCTACCATCGGCCACTCCAGCAAAGATCTTCATATTTACCGTCCTTGAAGAAGAAGCAAACATGGTTTTCAGCAGAACAAAAATCCAATTGCGCCAAATTCACGGTAATCTTTATGAGAAGCATAAAAGTCAAAGCGATTTTGGTGATGGTTGTTGTCACTTCAATTTTCATTTGATGTGATGATTTTCATATTAACCTAGTAGGTATTTATCAAAAACCAAGCAAACAGTAATTCCTTACTTGATGGCCAACACCGCATCAGGAAGCCGCACAGACATGACGTAACGCCGAGTAGAGTCCACGGCATTGTAGATGAAAATTCTGCAAAACAACGGTTATGCATATGTGTTAAATTACAGAATGACAAATCGATTTTCCACATTCAGTTAGGAAAAAGCTTCAGAATTCGAGAGTTCTTAGCCTGGACTGATGTTGAGTTATTTGGTAAGACTGTACTCTCACAGAACCATTCTCCACCCTTGCCCTCGCCCCCTTCCCCCCCCCTTCCTCCGCTCTTCCGGAGTAAAAGTGGTGGTAGCTTGGCAAAGTGCTGGGAAGAAGGGGGGATAGTATGCTATTCCCTGGGTTACCAGCAGATACTATACTTCGAAAACAGACTTTACTGTTTTGGTTTTCTCTCTGTACTAAACAGCTTAATAACAATCAAGAACTGTTGGAGAAATCGTCAACAGTTTTTGAAGGAGATCATATGATGGAGAAACTCAGAGACTCTGGCAAATGATTTTCATTTACACCTTGCGAGAACCCTGGTAATTCCTTCTCTTTACACAAGAAGACACAAATATTTGACGCGAGCTTTGAATCATGGTCTACTTCGATACGTTATATATATAGGCTGACTCGTCGACTCGTCAAGCAACGCTTCTGAAAAATCGTTGAGCGACGACGCGAAGAAGGACTGTAACGTAAGCTAAGTAACGCTAAACCTTTTCACTGTACCTTCCTCCCTGTGTTCCAAGCCAGACCGTGGGAAAAGGAAAGCCGAATCTTCCAGACATCGTACCCTTAAACTTCTTTTCCTCTCCACAAGTTCGCTCCACATACACCCCACACAAAATGTTTGACTCGCACACGTGGAACGATTCTACCACCTGTGGAGGGGAGGGAAGGGAAACTTTGACCACAGTCACGTGACCCGCATGGTCTCCGCCTCCACAGAGAAGCCACAGAATGTTGTAGTTGTCGTGGACGCCCGGGAGTGGATCTTCAGTGTCCGGACAGCTTACGATGCATTGAACCTGAAAAGTAAAATTCCAAACGTTGATTTGATCTGTTTGATTTGATGAGGGGCTAGAGGGGTTTTCGGTTGTGTTTTCAGTTGTGTCGTAAGGCTGAACTAGAGCAATAGCAAACGGCCAATCACATGAGAGGTGCTCGACACAATGAACTAAGGAGAACTTGAAGCAAATACACGTGACAAGCGCCAAGACGCGGAAAACTGCACATGACGAAGCAATAGGTAGCTTTCATCTGATTGGTTGAGAAGATGACGCGGGGTTTTTCTTTAACCAATCAGAGGACTCGCAAAGCCAACGCTATTCTGGATTACTTTCTATACTCAACGAAAACCGTTCTAAGAGTTGTAAATCCCCAACTTACCAAAAAATAATCACACCGACCAATAAAACAAATGTAAAAAAATTAATAATCCTTGAGACCACACAAAAAATGCCAGATAAAGAAATGTGAGACTAGCGCAGAGACCCGTAGTTCTGGATAACCACAGCACACCATACCTTTGATTTCTGATTGAGTAGAAACAAGCTTGAGTTATCTTTGAGAAGCGGCATGTTTCGGCGCTGAATAGCCACGCCTCCAGTCCCGTCATCCTCTGGGAGATACCAACCAGGATTGTTCTCTGGCGCTGAAAGGAAAATTATCATATCACACTGTACACTACGGACTAATACTAAGCAAGAAGTCATAACGCATAAAGCGGTGATATCCATGTGCAAATGCACCTTTTCGGCGATGCGGCAGCCATTTTGAATTCTATTATTTCATATAGCTATTATGGGATGCTCAGGGGACAAATTAATATGCAGTTGCCCCTAAGCATCCCATAATAGCTATTTGAATTCAAAATGGCCACCCTATCGCCGAAAAAGTCCATTCTCCACACCTTTCTCCTGGAATAGTTTGGAAAAACTTTAATCACATGTTGTCATCTCGTTTAGTTTGCTTCCATGTGCGCTTAAATTTGAATTCCTCTTTTGAATATAAATTGTTCGATATACAAATGCTCTTTGCCAAAAAAACGACAAATGTTTAATAAATATCACATAGTGAAATCACAGAATTGAGTTCAAATTCAGTCACTATAGCAAAAACACAATATTTCAGTTCACTCACCCAGTCTTAATTTAGACGTGTTAAGAGCAGTGACCCACTCTGCTTTCACCGAAGGAGAGTCCGTGCTAAATATATAGTTTACATGGCCATGTCTGAAAAACAACCATTTTTCATTACTAATGCGACACATCTCCCGTAGTAACAGTCACAGTGATTAATTGGTTTTTAATTCAAATACTACGCTACCGATTGGCTCAAACAAAAACTCGCGCCAGTTTATCACCCAATCAGAAGTAATACCAAAACCAATCGTGGCGCGCTCACGCACGTTTTCCCACGCTTTGCGTCAGCTACATGTATTTAATTCGAGTTTTGATTGGTTCATATAGTCTGCTCTATTCAGGTCGGTATTGTTTAAAATTAAGGTACCGGACCCAAAATGGTTCAGGTCTGTCTCATTACTCGAGAACGTTCCTTTGTTAGTGTCTGTTTATACGGGATCGGTCGGGTGCCGTCCACTACTGAATCAAAGCGAGAAAATAACCTATTTCAATCATGCGCAGAATACTTAAAGCAGACTCGGATCGGATCTATCTGGTATCGGTTCTGCGTGGACACACGAAAATGCGCAGCCAGCCCTAAAACGGATTGATCGGGCCAGTCCAGTAAGAGTTAGGAACGATTTACAGAAACTGGTTCAGCCGATAAGCGCTGGGTAGTCGGGTAACGGTAAGCAGGTCCCTTGGGAAGGAAAAACTTGTCAGTAAGTATGTCAAGACAAGTCCAGGATGTACAGTATTTGTACTGCACATTCAAAGCTATCGAGAGTTTATGTTCCATTTCTCTGACGATTTAGCATTAGAAGCCACTTTGACGAAAACGACAGAGAACAACCCCGACTATTCATTTCACGTTCCGTATTAATCTTGAAGTATTATTCGTGCGAGAACAAGGGCATGTCTGTTTATGTGTCTTTGAAAGGAATTAAGTTTCTAAAGTTACTCTGAAGTTTGACTTGATTTATTACACGTATTTATTTACCTTTATTGTCAGATTAATTATATGCCTTCCAAATTCATCAATACAGTTTTGCGTTTTTCGATTGTAACTGGTAACAACGAAGGGTACATTCCTACATGTAAATACCGTGAACTTTAAAAACAAACAAGGATTAATCGCGCAAGGAGAAGGGTCTGTAATGGCCCGACAAGGATTACAATGACTGCTGTGAGCTTTATATTTCTTACTTGGATGGTAAAGACAACTCCAGCCAATAAAGATTTGCTAGTCTTGTTTCTTCCTCTATCGTCCTCTGCACGGATTTGTGCCACTGTTGAACTTTTTCGACGTCAAGAACCTGTAGAGAGCAAAACTACGTAAACCATTTTTACTACAGAAAAGACAGCAGCTTCATGTCTTTAACTGATCGTATGAGAAAGCGTCTACCAAATGTCAAAATCAAGAGAGAGTAAAAGGAATTCTACTCCGACATGAGCTGAGTGAAGAGAAGAACGTTTCTAAACATCCAATGGAGAGAATGGAAAGACGTATGACACAAGATACGCGGGCATATTTCAACCAAGCTTAACATAAGCATGCCCCACATGAAGCATGTTCATGTACGATCACCTTTTTCGGCAAATTCACACCCACTAAATGCTTGCCACATTTGAACCCACAAGGAGCGACAACATTTTCGAGACACTTCAATGTTAAAAGCTATTTTGGAGAGTTTCGCACTTTTGGACTTTAATTTCCTTTGCTAAGGTACATGTATGACTCCTCTAGCATCGTACTTTTAAGTCAATCAAAACTGATGTATAACAACTGGAAGATTGAGGAAAGATACTCTTGCCAGACTCTGTAACAGACATAATTAAAGAAAAATACGCGCATCAACATTCACTTGACAAAGGGGCGCGGTGACGTCGAAAGCCCGTGACAGCCAAACATTTGAACTCTGAAATATCGAATGTATCAACCTTACCCGATATGAACGCCGTAGCGTAGCAACAAGGCCAGCTATTTGACCAATCACAGCCAAGTCCTGTTGCAGGTCTTCAAAGTGCTCACGGCAGCCACTGTAAGTACCTCGATACTGACCTGAGAAGAACAAAAAATAGTTCAACACTAAACCACCCAATCCAGTTCTTTAATGCTATCTTCAAGGATTTTGCCGACAAAACACGACCTTGGAGAGGGGAAAAATGGTTAAGTGTTCGAGCACTTTTGGCTAGCATTGTAAATGCTACTTTTGTCTTTAAAAATGTCAGTTACAGTGGAATTAACGTTTGGTCTGGAGTGTTCGTCTAGGTGAAGGCAAGCCTGAAAGACAAAGACTGACGGCAGTCATTCTCAGAATCAACTTCTAAAGTCGTCGAAACACGCACCAACTACTAGCTGATTATAGGCGTTCGATTTGTTGGAGAGCAGTGAAAAAAACAGCTAGGGAAAATATGAGGGAGGGGTTTGGGACGAGGAGCGAAATGAGTAGCCCTCCCCTGCACTTTTTCTCGCACCGGTCCCAAAATGCCAGGAAGAGGCTAGTCACCAACAACAGCTCTTTTCAGGATTGCATGCTCTCACCGGGACCATCACACTGGATAAACTACTGATACTCGGAAGTTCAAACCATTTACCAGATAAAAATGGTACAATTACCTGCCCTGGAATGGCTTATTGTTGTCCTGTACGAATTGGTTAATATGTTCACTCCTGGACCGTATTCCACGATATCAACATCATTAAGCGGCACGTTCCATTTCAGCTTGTACTTTGCTTTAGGGTCAATTACCATGTGCATGGCACGATCTTTCTTCCTGAAAACAGCAACAGCAGAAACTCATAGCTCACTGTGTTGGTATAATAAAACCTCAATGCTTATCAAAACTTGTCCTATTTTCATTTATAACATAGCTGGCAAAACCGCGCTATCAAACACTGTATACATGAGCGAACGTCACGTTCTAAAGATGCACACTTGTGGCCAGTCTGAGCAAAAAAGAAAAACATTTTTTTTCTTTCTTACGCGAGTGGACCTCGTCGTACATTTAAGGTGATTCTTTAGTGTTGCATTGCGCATCCCTAGTGCGCACAATTTTCGCGTCATTAGCGCGCGTACATGAGCGCACATACGAATATACATCACGACTTTAACTTAGCAAGCTCTTACCCTTTAATGAGGGAAACACACAGCAGCATGTCCGAAAGCATGATTATTCGCCGTTTCTTTGTTCCAAGTATTGATTCACCTTCAACAGTCTGGTAAACCAACATATTACAATCTATCAGTCAAAGTGAGGTAATTAGAACTTGCATTGCAGGCTAAGTTAGGTTGGGAAAACTCAGTTTTGGCCAATGCCACCTGATAGAGGTTGACTTTCCAACGGCAGTTTCGATGCCTGTAGGGGTTGATTTTCTTTGATTCGTTAACAAACGTAATGTAAATTCCCTGGATTCCACAGAGACTACCCAGTTTGTTTTAAGAAAACTGACTTCCCAGATTTGAAGTTCCTACATGTCAACAGAGCTGTTCATTAGCAGTGCCCAGTGAACCAGTTCTAAGAATCACCAGGACATATTTGTAGTGTGTATTGCATACATACTATTTTAACAAGTGGTACTTACACACTGTACAAAGTCATCCTGTCTGATGAAGTATCGGTTACCAGAAGCTAGGGGCTAAAAAAATTGACAAAAACAAATTGTGACATCCCCTTCAGCCATTGAGCCCTTGAATGATTACTAACAACACATTTGTTTTATTATCATTTCTGAGAATCCTCCCAAATGGACCAGTGTGTTGATTGTTATATTGCCCTGATAACAATGTACTGACATCCAATGCTAGATAGCTTACCTATCACTACTCTTTGCGTTGCCATGCCATCAGTGTGCTTTGCTCAGCAAGGCTATGCTATGTTGACAATGCCAAGCTAAGTTAATAAAAACTACGCGAAGCTACATGTAAGCAAACCTAAGCAAGGCTATTGTTAAGCTATGCCAAGCTAAGCTAAGCCAAACTAAGCTAAGCCAAACAATGTGTTTTCATCACAATTATTTTGTTTCTTGGAGCCCAAATAAAGTTGTCTGGGGAAGGCAAGTTGTCCCTAGCAGAGCGTTTACAAGGCACTAGGGTTACCCTGTAAACCACCTTGTAAACAAGGCCTAAAATTAGCTATACAATGCTAACCTGAGCTCAATGTGAAAAATAAGCCGGGTTAAGCCACATGTATTCTAATCTAACCCATCTCTAATCTAGGCAAGGCTAAATTAAGCTATTGCAATGCTGTGCAATACTGCACTACATGTAAGTTACATTGCGATGCCGGCAATGCTATGCCACACCACTACACACCAGGACCTGTGCGCTTCTAAATCTAACGAAAAGTTTGAGGAAAATAATTCTAATAAATAATTACCTTGTGACTTTGCGACACCAGCCCATCCAATAACTTGACTTTGTTTCTCAGCTCAGCTTCTCTTTTTCTTTCTTTTAGATTCTCTGCCAGACACTCCAGCTGAGTTAGAGCAAGCTGCAGAGGAACACGGTCTGGGTGATCTCTGGGAGTCACTAACAGAAGTTCCTGAAAACAGAATGAGACCAGCAATCAAAAAAGTTCACTTTTCACTGACTGAGGAATAAAAGGAGTATGCAAAATGCGAAGAACTCTAGTGCATGACTGTGGTACAGGTCTCTCCAGTGGGGTGGGAAAATGTTCGTGATATTCTTCCGTGGCAGCACCTACTATATACTACACTACAAGGATGTACTACTCCTTCTCCGCAGCAGCACCTACACCATGGAATTCTCTACCATTTGAAATAAGAAATCGTTTGTCTGTGTCCATCTTTAAAAATAGACTCAAAACGTTTCGTTTTAAAAAAGCGTTTTTGCAATTTATTTTAGACTAATGTTTTTAATTTTTAGATAATTTTTTAGACTTTCTCTGACATTGTAAAGCGCCTTTGAACATTTACTATAGGATACTGGCACTATAGAGATCTGATGACGATGATGATGATGATGATGATGATGACGATCATGATGACGATGACGATGACGANTGCTTTATTTTCCTTGGTACCCTGATGCACTTTTTCCTTCTGTAGCTTTCAGTTTATTGGCCCCTTTCCTAAAAAATTGGCCTCTAAAAAAGATCTTCAGGGGCCACTTTGGCCCTCAAGTAAAATTTTCTGGCTGAAACACTGCAGTACAGTGCATGGCCCTGTGAACCCAAACTTTTTGTCTTATGCAGGTTAAGAAGTTAATCAATCAATCAATTAATTAATCAATCAATCAATCAATCAATCAGACAGCATGTTATATTAAATAACAATGTTATAAAACACTTATTGAATTGAATTGTTACATTACAAAAAAAAAAAAAGATCTCGTCTTCAACCTGAAGGAGAGCCAATATCTGCGGAAACCTCTGGACTGGTTTTAACATCAAATGGTGGAGAGAGTTGCGTTCACGGCTTGACTGTCTACGAGACTGCAAGAAAGAAAGCAAATCACACAAATTGAAAATAAATAAATCTCTTTTGTTACAATAAATTTCGACTGATCTCGCAATCATGATTAAAGTTCTAAAATGTTGAACCATCATAATTATTTTGTCCTGGGAAATATGATTGAAAATATTTGTTATGAAATCCTTTTTACAGTATCCTGTCCTTGATGTGACTACATATACAGTGTATGACAACGTTCAGTCACGTTTTAAATTTTCCATACATTTGACCATATTTTTTTCAAATGGCTTTGCAAGTTCATGGAAAAAATCAAACAAAACTCAAAACAATCAGAGCTTTTACCCATCAAATTTTGCCCCTAAAAATAAGTGAGATTATAATTTCTTATTATTCATCTCCACTAACCTTCAAAAACTGTGCAAATGCAAGATGGGTTCTACAGGCAGTTTTAACAGTGTCCATGGCTTTTGCGAAGTTGTTCACATATCCACTATATGCATCAAGAACCATTGATTTACAAAACTGTGGAGAATAAGCACTTTAAGCAGTCAGTACAACAAAATCAATGCAATCAACAGGTACAGTAGTTTGAATTCTCCTTACTGTTTTGTTCCAGATTTTCTTTAGGAGAATAAGATTGTTGGTCAGACATCTTTAATTGGATGATCAGATCTTTAAATTCCACTAACTTTTCTTGTTTGCTCCTGTAACCTAGGGCTTTCCATGTTGGGGTATGAAGATTTCTACTGCTCTTTTTTTGCAACATATTCTAAACTGGTCGAAGCCTTCAAAGATTCACAAGTCAAAATGAAATTGCTCAATTTTTGCCAAATTTGGAGAAACAACTTAGACTAGGAAATACATTGTAATGCTTAAAAATCCTAACTGGCAAGGGTAGAACAGTTGGCTATGTACAAACAAGGCCGAGGAGTTGAACTCAAGATTACCGAGAAAAACACCAGCAATAAATATTATTGGTCAGAATGGGGCCTGAAACGGTGACCTCTGGATTTCAAGTCTGGCACCCTAACAACTCAGCCATGCTACAGTGCATAACTACATGTACTCATTTCACAATTTAGTTTTCTTCTCAATAAACAAGTGAACATAACTTATAATCACAAGATTTATAAGCAAGCTTTTACATGTTCAGAACACTCAATCTCACCAGGGCATATAGGATGTCTCCAACTTTCTCCTCCGGGGTCCAGTCGGCCATCCTAGCACTGAGTGCAATATTGAACATGGCATGGCACTGTAAGACTCTGTGAACATGCTGGAATATGATATCAATCTTGTTTGGTTCCAAGAGATCACGTTCTCTAATGGGCAACTCATAATGCTATATAAAAAAAAAAATAACAAAACATTGCAGCAAAAATTTTGCAATTAATATCATACTGCAACCTTACATGTAGTTACCAGGATCATTAAGCTGCGTTAATTAGTAATATTTCCTGTTACAAGTTGGCAGCATAGCTAAGGGTGCATAAAAAATGGATCTTTCAAGTCACACATTTGGTGAGCTTGAGTCATTGTGTCATTGTGTAGTCCGAAACCATTACTACCCACAGAGTAAGTGTTGGATAAAATCTTACATAACTGAAAAGAAAAATCCTCTAGCCCTGGCCTATGGTACAGGACTTCCTTTGAATGCCATTAGCAAGATCGACCTTCCTAACTTCTTTTGTTTAAACCTTTTGACTCAAATTTGGTTTTTAATCCAGTGAATAACGTTACTTTGTGAAATGCACACATGTACATGTATGCACCATATTGTGTCTCTCAATCATATGGCATTTGAAAAAAGGATCTTCTAGTGATTGGATTTAAGTTGTAGCAGAGAAAACAAAAGCTCTCAGATAGTCAGCATACATTTAGATTTTACAAGATAAACCTGAGAAATTCCCAATGTGTTAAATTTATTAAATTTGACATCCCTTTAAAAAAACACCTGCCTTAGGTAACTTCCTTTGAAAATGTGAACACTGCAAAAATAATTTTTAATTATGTTTTAACATTGTGATCCTGAAAAATAAATACCCAGTAACCATAATTTACCTGACCCTTCATCTCACCTTACTGAGTTGATCCAGTAGTCTCATATAATCTGCTTCACTTTCCAGCATAAATTTCACAATCTGGTATCTTTTGATCTAAAGTGTACATGTAATTAATCATCGGTTAGAATGGGTTTTTCTGACAAGGAACAAAATCCTGTATTTTTTTTGTTTTTTTTCGTATACACAATGTATTTCCACTCTGTTGTAAATCATGCTTGCATCTGTCTGGAACTTACGAAAAAACCATTTAATAAGAGCAGATTTGAATTTTCATTTTCGCAATGTGTATTTAGTTTTCAAGTCTATCAGTCAATGGATTTTAATAATTCTATGTTCCCTGGGATATTAAAAGATAGCTCATGACCCAGCTAAACCCAGAAAAGAGGAAAAGCCCCGAAGGAGGTATAGTCAACTGTCGTTATACATGTAACAGATACCGTGGAATCCCAATATTTTGAACCTCCAAAGGAAACAAAAGTTTCCCTTGGAAAGTTTCCTTTCAAAAGCAAGCAAAATCGGAGAGTTTGAGAAATCGGGGGTAAAATTACAGTGTTCGGCTGAGGAGGGGGAAACGACTTTTGGTTCAAGTTATCGGGAGGTTAAAAAAAATGAGGGTTCAAGAAATCGAGATTCCACTGTATATATACTGAACCCTTGGGATTGTAATTTGGTTTTCGTAACACAGGGGTTTCATTAATGTTTTCGTCAGGAGGGTAACTGGTTTTCACAGACAGGCAAAACTTTTTGAACTGAACTTTTTTTACAGTGTATAAGAAGACGCACGACTCAAAAAAGACTTGTATTCTAACTTGCCCTTCAGATAAGCAGCACTCAAAGTTTGCTTGTCCCAGCCTGGGCAAGTCTTAGTTTACTATTTTCATTTAGTTGAACGACAACTTGCCCGGGCCCTTGCCCATTGGGCAAGTGAGAATGAAAACCTACTTGTCCTGGACGACCAGACAGTACTTTTTTGAGCCCTGTAGGTGGTGATACTACGCAGGCAAAACCGTCCTAGTAACAGCTAGTGAATGTGCCCGGTGCCCGACCCTTAATGAAATCCCTGGTTAGTAACAGTCTGTCACAATAGGTGTCCAATAGAAGTCCACTCGCTACATGTATCTTCAACTATCTTCAAGCATGCATTAAATGCAATTTAACCCCACCTTACAATGTATAGCTTACAAGTCATATTGATATTTATTTAATGATTCTCCTTAATGCGACATGTGTATTCTTTGAAGAATCAAATGGATTTTACGCACTACACTACAGTATTTACCTGTTCGTTAGACAGTCCTTCAGGCATAGGTGGCATCACAGGTTGTTGATAGTTTACAGAGTCTGTGATGTCAGGGTCAACATAAACTGCATCTGTTTCATCATCTGAAATAAAGGATGATAAATATTTGGTATCCAACAATACTCTACATTACAGATCTGTCAAGTTGCTGCTGTCGCTCCAAAGGAGCCCTGGTTTGACTAGTTATGACCAACATCTACCTCTCAGTAGGTTGTGCAAAACTGTATTTTATAAAAGATCAAGAGCTATTTATAACCACTTCATTACTTTTTTGGTCGCTGGCTAAGTATGGGAGACTTGGGGCTTTGTTTAATCCCAAGCAGCCTTTTATCTGGCCCTTCAGTCCTGGAATACCAAGTGACGGCTTCTTTCCACTGGAAAACGGTGAGAAACTAGTAACTTCTGACACAAACCTAAACTGAGGTAAAAAAACAAAAATAAAGATGCTAATCCAAAGACATCTACAACACTTTTAAGGGAATACACTGTCGGCAGTGGTATTCTTGCTTGGTGCCTAGACATGGCTGCCGGTGTTAACAAAATTTTCACAGGGGGCTGACTTCAGTAAAACTTGGACTGCCTGGGCCTGGATGTATGGTTCAAAATTTGCAGCACCAAGATGATTTGACTTAACAGCTAGGGTGTATTTTTATTTGGGCTAAAAGGCACTACATGTATATTTGTTCAAAGCATTTATTAAAGACAGGACACTATTTATTTCTGCCATAAACATCTTGGTGTAAACATCAAAAATGAAATCTTGAGAGTACTTTTGTTTGACATTCCCACGATGCCAAAGAACTGGTCTTCTACCGCAATACATGTATCTCAACTTAACATTGCAGTGTGAATGTACTGGTCAGTGAAAAGTTTAATTTCTTTGAGAGCGATAAACCTTGGATCATGCATGATGAAGGCATCCAAGGTTGAGTGTCATTCGATAACCTCAATCGACACTTGCTCAACATCTTGATCAACACTTGATAGATATGATGTGAAGTTTATATGAAATAATTCATATATGAACTGCGGTTGTAGATGACAGTGAAGAATGATCATCGCAGTTAATTTTCCAATTTAAGCAAT